TAGGGAGAGACAGAAGCTGCCTCTTTGAGAGGGATACAGAAAGGGAAGTGACTCAGGCTGGAAGCTGAAGATCAGGGAGGGAGTGGATGTGGCTTGTCTCTTAAGGGGACAGAGCAGACCATCACATTACCATCTCCTTTTTATAATAAAAAGGCAGGAGGTTAGGTACAACAGTTTAAAGGAACTGGGGCAGCAGATTCTCAAGACTGCTTCCTGCTTATTTGTGGGTGCCCTCTTAGGGGGAACCTGAGAAAGCTGGGTACTGGCTTAGCTGGTCTGTTGGTTCCTGTCCAGTGTTTGTGGTATGGCAATGTCTGGTGTCTCTTATACCTGTTTAAGGTATTGGCAGAACAGAAGACAAAGTTAAGTTTAGAAAAAAAATTTTAGGACCAGGAAATTGAGGTGGGTGTATCTGACCTGTAAGGTGGATCCTCCAAATTAGGCTCCCTGGAACTCACAAGAATTTCTTGGGGCTTGTGAAAACAGAAATTTTAGACATATACATAAAATTATATAAACATTAGCATATTTATATCAGGATGACTATGACAGATATCTTTGCACAATAAAAAGTATTTTTAAGACTATGGAAGGCAGTGTAAGAGAGAAATTTGATAACTTGTATTTGTCCTCACACCTTTATATCTTGCAGGTCTTGTATTTGTATTTGTATTTTACTGAGATTTGTTTGGTGAGGCTGTCCTTTTAAACTGACAGAACCTCTGAGCTGCCAACTGCATCAGAGATCTTTGAGAAGGATAAAATTTTACTTGAGTTACTGATTTAAAAAAATCTCAAAACAGCCTGGAACAGACGCTGGTCTGTGTTTACAAGTATTCATTCTTATAAAGATTTATAATGAAAAAGAGCAAGCTGAGCAGGGTAAATAACCAAATGTAAATTTTGAGGAGAAACAGAGTACCAGGAAGTGGAATACAGCTAAGTTCTGTGTTCAAAGAGATAAATGAATTAAGAAATGGAATATAGGGAGTGGTGTGACTTCAGGGCAAGATCCCACCCAGCTAAGTTTCCAACTTTGTAAAGGAAATACAGTTTGTGGGGTACACCTTTAATCCTAGCACTGGAAAGGCAGAGACTGGTGGATCTCTTGAGTTTGAGGCAGCCTGAACTAGAGATCCAGGTTCAGGACATCTAAGCTCAGGCAGTGGGTGAAGCACAGAGAGCTGATGAAGATGTGATTGAATAAGAGAGTCATGTTACAAGCCCAGTAAGCAGCAGACCGTGGCAGCTTCAGTCACACGGTTCTGGATGTAGAGTCAAGGACAGAAAAAAGGAGTTACGGAATAAAGCCACTGAAGCCAGGTATGTGTTAGAGGTGTCCCTGAATGGAGGCCTAGTAGAGAGGCCGTTGCATGAATCTGTGAAGTTGAAGCCTGGATTGCCTTGGTGAATCCAAGATGTTAGAGATGCCAGAATTGTGGGATCCCTGCCAAGGAGAGCTGCTAACAGGGAGTGGAACCAGCCCAAGGGAAAGAAGTGTGCTTCAGTCTAAAAGAGCTGAAAAGAATGGAGATCTGAAGAGTGTTTTGACATCAGACATGGAGATGCAGTTTGGAGTTTGCCCAGCTGATTTGCTGTCCAGTATTTCCTCGCTATTTTCCCTTTGCTCGCTTTTGGAATATCATGTGCCATTATATGTTGGAAGTGTGTGATCTGCTTTTTGATTTTCATTTTCAGGGGATTACAATTAAGAGATTACATGAATCTCAGAAGAGACTTTGGAAGAAGTATGTCACTGTGGGGCAGGTTTTGCGGTTTCCTATGCTCAGGATACCACCCCGAGTCAGTCAACTGACTACCAGTGCCTCAGTCAACTTCCTATTATCTGCGAGGTGTAGGACTTTCAAGACTACTCCCCCAGCGCCAAGTCTGCCTGCATGCTGTCACGCCCCCGTCAACCTCCGAAACTGTAGGCTACCATCTCAATTAAATTCTTCATTTATAAGAGTTGCCATGGTTATGATTTCTCTTCACAGCAATAGAAACCCAAACTAAGACTGTGTATTGTGTGTGTGAGTGTGTATGTGCATGTGTTGTATACATATGCTGTGTTTTTATCAAGGAAATTTCAAAACTAAATCTAGCAAAATCAGTAAGACTATAAACCATATGCAAATATTATCTTTATAGAGAAATCATAGCCCTTTATAGCAAGGCATTTGATTAAGTGAGGAATATACCATGTTCGTGAATGAGAAGACATAATACATGAACTGAAGAGATGATCTTTGCTGCTCTTGCAAAGGTCCTGAGTCCAGTTCCCAGCACCTCACAGGGTGGCTCACAACCACCAGCTCCAGGGGACCCAATGGCCTTTACACACCTCCTTAGGTACCCGCACACATGTGTACATGCTAGACACTGACATACATATACACATAACTACAAATAAAATAAATCTTAAAATAAGAAGACATAATAAAACTTTTTGACCGTTTCCCATTGTGTTCTGTGAGTGTAACACACCCCACCCAAGCCTTGTCTCCCCCATCCAAACCTTGTCTCCCCCAGCCAAACCTTGTCTTCCCCACTCAAGCCTTGTCTCCCCCATCCAAACCTTATCTCCCTCATTCAAGCCTTGTCTTCCCCATTCAAACCTTGTCTCCCCAATCTAAGCCTTGTCTCACCCATCCAAACCTTGTCTCCCCAATCCAAGCCTTGTCTCTGTGGAATCTGAGTCTCGTTCTGAAATGCAAAAGGACCAGAGCAGCTTCAAGAAGAGCAAAGGAAAATGTGTCCATTCAGCAACAACACAGCTACAGGACACTAGAGTAATACAGGTTCAAACAAGCAGAACCAAATGCAGGTACAGACAGAGGTCTGATGTAAGTAAAGAGTATTTACATAAGTAGAGAGAGACTTCAATAAAAAAAAAAAAAAACAAACAAGCAAAAGCTCACCAAGTGGTGGTGGCACACGCCTTTAATCCCAGCACTCAGAAGACAGAGGCAGGAGGATCTCTGTGAGTTCAAGGTCATTCTGGTTTACAGAGCAAGTTCTAGGACAGTCAGAAACAAAGAAACCCTGTCTCAAAAAACCCAACCAACCAACCAACCAAACAAACAAAATCTCCCAATAATTGTTTGTACTTTTAGAAAAAAAAAATGGACACATGGGCTATGTCACACAAAATTTAAAACTTTATTTAAAATATTAATGGGACAATAAAATATGAGCAAATATATATGACTTTGATAATATTTACTTAATCTACACACACGAATACTACCTTTGACTATACAGATTTTAAAATTGTTGAGGACAAAAGTTAAAAGAGAAGTATATTCCAGAAGATTTTGAAACATAACAAAATAATTAATGTGTATGCATTTTAGAGGTTATGAACTTATTGCATTGCTTACAGGAGAATAATGAAGAAAAAAGGGATTCTGGGGGGAGTGAATGCAGCATTGTACTGACAATGGTCTGCCTTGCTGAGGTCAGAGCATCGGTCTGCATTCCCACTGACGGAGGTCAGCATTGCTGAGGTCAGAGCATTGGTCTACATTTCCCCAGATGGAGGTCAGCATTGCTGAAGTCAGAGCATTGGTCTAATGAAATGTTCTTACTTATCAAATCAGTGAACCCCAAAGATAGAGGGATGGCACAGTGATTCAGTGTGCTCACTACTCTTGCAGAGGTTACCAGTTAGGTTCCCAGAACCCACATAGGAAGGCTCACAATTGCCTCTAACTTCAGTTATAGGGGATCTGCTACCCTTTTCTGGACTTCAAGGGGTGTTGTGTGTACGCATGTGCGCACACATGTGAACACACACACACACATACACAACTAAAAATTAAAATGCATCAAGACCTTAATGTAACTGTTCATCTGTCACTTGGAGTCAACTGCAGCTACAGTATACATGATTCCCTGCATGCAGCAGTTAAACTTTTCAGTATTTTCCCTCAGGACAACCTTTCCCAGTGTCACCAAGCTGACCCAGGCTGCCCACTCAGCACCATATGCTACAGTGAGCATCACCTGCCCAAGGCAGGAGGCTAGATCCACTTTAGTTCATGTGTACCATAGCTCTGTGCTGAGGCTATACGGTAGGAGACCTGGCTAGGTGCCCTACCACGGCTCTGATACACTGTGAAGACAAGGAAGCCATACGGCCAGGCGGACAGCACGACACTGTTTATACCAAAAGCAAAAACTAGGAGTCGGAGAGGCGGCTCAGCAGTTAAGAGCTTGTACTGTCCTTTACAGGACCAGAGTACAGTTCCCAGTGACCGCTTCAGGTGGCCTAAAAACCATCTGTAACTTCAGCTTCAGAGGATCTGTTACCTTCTGGCCTCTACCGGTCCCCATGTATGTAACATGAGGGCCGGCTTGTTGGGGTTTCTGTCCCACTCGGTACCCCACAGCCTGCAAGCCCCAAAGAAAATTACACATAGGACTCCATAAGGTTATAAACTGATTGGCCCATTAGGTCAGGTTACTTATTAGCTCTTATAACTTATGTTACCCCATTATCCTTATCTACATTAACCACATGGCTCCTGTATTGTCAATCATGTATTTTA